TCAGCAGATGCCTGCGGGGTCCTGCTGCACTACAAGCTGCCCTCCGCCCTTCGCCGAGCTGGCGCCCCGTCGATTCCCCCTCAGCGTGCTGCCGACGAGCACCACCGTCGAGTCCTCGAGGGCCGCGATGCCGGCAGACCCGCTGTCCTCAACAAGGCAGCTGGCGAGCTCGGCCTCGACGTTGCTCCGGGCGAGTATTCCGTCGAAGGGTCCTCGGATCGCGTCGTTGTCGCCCATGTACTGGCCGTTTGCGCTGAAGACGCAGCACGAGGCCTTCGCAACGAGGGGCTCATCACCGATCAAGGGGCCGAAGAGCACGGCCCCCTGCCGAGCACAGTCGTGCACCTTTGGCCGGTCGAGCGCCAAGTTTCCTCCTCCACCCTCTTGCTCACTCCCTCCGAGCCGCCTCCCTCCTCCTTCTCCCTCCCCTTCCCTCGTCCTCCAGCATCCTTCCATCCTTCCATCCTCTCTTCATCCTACTCCGTCCTCTACTTTCTTCCTCCACCACCCTCTTGATCACACATATCGTCTTCCCCCTCCTCGTCATGCGTCCTCCACCCACCACCTCATCCGCCCTCATGCTCGTTCTGTCGCGCCCGTTCCCATCCCCTCGTCCACACCAGTCCTATAGCTGATACTATAGCTTCCTCCCTGCCTTTGTACCACTTGCGTATACCAGCGAAGAGCCTCATGAATCCCTTCCAGACGTCCACGACCCCGCCGAGACCCGATTTTCGAGGAACATAAACAGCAAGCCCAAGAGGACCATTGGGGTCCCGCGGCTTAAAGCAACTGCCAACGTTGACGCCGGCCTACCCTCCCTCCCTCTCTCGATGCCATCTGTAAAAAACAATGAGTATCATTTCCACGACCCCGCCGAGTCCGGCGTTTTCGAAGAACATAATCATCGAGCACAGGAGGACATTCGGGCTCCGCGGCTTAAAACATCGGGGATCTACGGACCCGGATCGTTCCAGACCGGGGTCAGTCAGGCTTTGCAGGACACTGCAAAATCTTTCAGGATCCTGCGCTCAAGCCCGGGTCAATGCACCCCTGGCTCTGCAGGATCCTGCAAGATCCAGCGCTCTGACTGAGCCCGTTTGCATTGGCTTCCGCCCCTTGAGTCCCGAAAGCAACTTTCAGCGTTTGACGCCAGCTTGGGGGCGAAGGGAAGCCCCAGTACTGGCCAAACTGTATCACCCCCCGCCGTGGGCCTGACCGGATCTGCTCGATCGAGACAGCTATCGAGCCGGAGATCGACTACAGAATGGGTGTACCCCGAAACTGACCTTCGTGGTAGCATCAGCGAACAATGCGTAGAAAGCTCTGTAGATCTACGGAGCAGTCTACGAACTGTCGTAGATTCGAAAACAAAAATATAAATTCTGGGGTGCGTCCCTTCTGCAGGCGGTTCTCTGCTTAAAGATAGCGAGTTCACATCGCTACTTTGGCAAAAATTGTTCGTTTGCCTCCGGACATGAACTCCTCAACGCGGTTCTGCGCAGAAGAATGACGCCAGCGCCCACGTCGGCCTGAGGACCCCCCAGTGCACGGCGGACACCCCACCAGACCCTTGCTAGATTGCACGGTCCAGACACGATGGTAATAGCAAGCCAGGGCAGTAGGCTTAGGGATCTTTCCCGGCGCAGCTGTGGACCACAACATGGCGCTGGTGGCCCTACGCATCTCAGGCTTGGGGCATCCCCACGCCCTGCCCACGCGCACGTCCCAAAGAGTGCCCAGTGCGAGGCCTTCCGAACTCCGGCTCGATCCCCCGAAAAGCCTCGCGACGGCCATGGAGACCACCCCTTCTCGAGCCAGGCCAGGACGGCGAGCTTCTGAAGAACCACTCCGTGGTGGAGCAGTAGGCTGGCGGCCATCTTTCGAATCAGGGATCGGCTGCAGAATTGATTTGCCCGTTCGTTCGTTCGTGCCGGAGGCTGTGGCAGCCAATGGGCGTGCATACTGGCATGTCAACGATGACAGCAAGCATGGAGCACTTTTTGGCGCCACGTGGAGGCATCACTCACTGCGTCTCGGAGCCGGCGGCTGTCCCCGAGCAACTGATTTACCCCCGAATTGATTTCCTCGTCGAATCCATAAAAAAAAACGTTGTAGTTTTCATGGGTTCGACCGTCGGAGCTCGAGACCACAAGAAACTTTCCACAAGAAGCCCAACCCTGAGACACTGGGGCGTCCATTGATTCTTGGCGCGTGGAAAGTCAAGCGTTCCATCGCAAAACTATCGAAGCCCAAGAAACACAGGGTACCCTGGAGGCAAGCAGGGTGGTTCTGAACATGGATTTCCACTGTAGCCGGGCCTAGTTATCGTTCACATGGAACCGAAGCTCGTGGCATATATCCGCATCTGCAGCGTCGCTCAACGCGCAGCAGCGTTCCCTGCGAAGGTCATCGTCGACCCCGCCGTCGCAGCCGTCCGCGACCAGGATGTGATTGTGGCCATTTTCGCGAAGGGCCCGCACGACGCACGAAGCCCCCTGTGGCGGCCAGTCACAGGAAGTGCAAATTTCGCGCCTGCACGCGCCACAGAGAATGCGCTCGTCGCCAGCGATGATCGCTGGAACGAGACAGGGTCGAGCCCAACCGGCACGTCGTAGGGCTATCCACGCACGCGATGCCGCCTGGCCGCTGCTTGCGGCCAGCACGCACGGAGGCGCACCTCGACAGCGGCTGGAGGCGGCGCGCTGTCCAGGCGAGGGCCGGCCAGGCATCGCAGCACCCCGAGACTTGGCCAGGACGCCCGCAGCTCCGACCTTGCCGTAGTGCTGGGGGGCGCGTCGCGGCAGACCGACCGGCGGTGGGCCGCGCCTCGCGTCGCCACTGGCACACGGGGTCGCCCTCTCCACACAAAGGTCGCCAGCAACGCAATCAACTGGAGGCCTCCTAGATGGGGTCGGGGTTATTAGATGGGGTCAGAGGATCGCGCCGCATCGGCGATCCATCGGCGATGCGGCCGAGACAGACTTGACAAAGCAAGCCGAGTCCTGACCTCCTCGGCGATGCGCCGCGTGAAGACCAGCTCGCAGCCGCTCCGGCGCTGGCGGGCGCCCTGCGGGGGCCTCGAAGCCTTGGCAGGCCACCGCGCGTCGCGCCAGTGCCCGAGCTTCACCTGCCACGGCCTTCGCAAAGAGCCGGACTCTGCACGCCGACGCCTTTTCTGGCCCCGCACTGAAACTCGCACAGGAAGCCGGGTCCTGGTGTATATATATATATGTATATATATGTATATGTATATACATTCTTCGCGTTGTTTCCCTGGAGGCACGGGGGAAAAAATATCGTCCCCTACCCAGAAAAAAAGTCCTGGCATTGAAAAAACAGCACGGCACTGGTAATGTATACGTATGTTCCAGTTTCCGACTTCGCGGCCACGAAATCCAGGCTAGATAAACTAAGTCGAACCCAGCTACTGACCCCTGTTAGTGGCCCAAAGGACCCAGGACGCGAACTTCCGCCCGGTCCTTTCTAGCGGCATCTGCGCCGTGGCCGTCCACCCCAGCGATTCGCCCCGCGTCGAAGGCTAAGTCTTGGGGTTGGTGGCCTTCGTCGCCATTGGAGCCTTCGGGCGAAGTGGGGCCGCCTTGGTCCTGCTCAGCAGCAGGAGGGAGCGAGCTGAGCGCGTAAGCGGGTCTCGCCGCCAGTCGCGGCTTTCGTGGATCGCGGAATGGATCGTCCGCGAGTTCCGCCCAACCTCCCCGCCGAGGGCAAAGTGGTCGGCGCCTGCCCGTCGCGCTGCTGGGGCAACCAAGAAGTACCGATATCGCTACTCCCCGGACCTCTCCCGGGGTGCGTTCTGACCAGGATTTCGAGGCGAATCCAGCGGTGGCGACGAAGGTCTCCCAAGAGGCCCAAACAAGGGAAAACGAGGGAGGGGTAGCGGTATGAGTACCTTCTCCTCCTCTGAGCTGCACTAATGCCGACACCTCCGGCTGGAATACCTTCCCCAGCTCTGCGCCCGCATCCTTCAAGGCCACGCCGGGAGAGGGGCGGCGCACTCTTCCCGCGGATGCGGGCTCGCAGTAATAGGTCGGGCCTGTCCCCCTACAGGGGGATTTCGGACGAAAAATAAAAAAATAGTCCAACAACACTCCAAAAATGCAAACAAATACTCAAAAACTTGTCCCCCGACTATTTTTTACTATTCTTGAATATTCCTCCTGTAGAGGGATAGGCCCGACTTCATCGCAGTGGTGGAACTCGAAGGACCGGCGGGCCACCTTCCTCGCGGCCCTCGGGCTAGCTCCGAGGTTGCCGGCGAGAGCGCTCTGGTCTGTAACAAGTGCGTGGTCTGTAAAACTCCTGGGAACCCCCAACGCCTAGAGCCGCCAGGACGCGGCACATCACGCAGGTCTTACCCTGTCAGCCCACAGGAGTTTCAGCGTACAGCGCCTCGTAAACCAGGGTAGGGGCGTGTTTTTAATGCCCTTGACTGCAGGTAGCAGAAGACCAGGCACGCGGGAAAAGTACGGGCTCTGCACCTTCCGCTTCTTGGCCCGGGCAAGGGCATCCTGTAGAGCCGCCCTCCACGGCCTTCCGCGTGGTGCCCTGCACGTCGGCCTCGCCCTCGGCCTGCTCGCCGCGTGGCCATGCCTTGGCAGCAAGCTCATCGATCACTGGCCGTCGAGGTCCCCGAACCTGATGTGCTCATCCAGGCCTCCATCTCCACCAGCAGCGGCAGCACCCCGCGATGGAGGCTCGACAGGAACACTAGCAGCATCGACATTCAGCATCACGACGGGTGGCTGTTTCTGCCGCCACAGCATCGGCAGCCTGTTTGCTCTTCGGGTCCGTGAGCAGATTGCGCGGGGCAGTGAGGTGACAAAGTCCTGCAACACCGCGGGATTGCACCCGAGCTCGGACAACTGTCCGCAAAACCAGGCAGCGGGGTCGGCGCCATCACGCCCGGGCCGCCAGGCCCTGACACGAGCACTCGGTGAAAGCCCACGCTGCCCTCTTGGCAGCTTAACGCTCCCTGGCCGGGAGATCCCAGGACTCGCAACGAGTGAGCTGGCTCGATCTGCACCATGAGACGGCCACGCGCCTTCTCCAAGGCCGTCTCGGCCTTCTACACCTTGGCTCTGAGAACGTCATGCTCCTTCTCGGCCTTCTTCGAAGCTGGGGAAACCAAAAGGTACCGATACCGCTGCTCCGCGGACCTCTCCCGCAGTGCGCTCTGACCAGGGTTCGAACGACGAGGGCCACACAGGAGGTCCACATTGGGGAAAACGGGCGAAGGGTAGCGGTATGGGTACCCTTTCCTCTTCTGAGAAGCAGCCATGGGGCCACCCTTGCGCACAGCACGCCGAGACGCAACCGCCGCGCAGCTTGGGCGGTCCACCAGCCCAGGTGCCCCTTGGTCGCCACAGCAGCAGCGCGTCTTGCGCCACATGCAGGTGTCCGTGGACTTCCACTTCTTGACCGGGCACAGGGCTGGACCTAAGCGTTGTGTTTCGTTTTGTGTTCGTTTTGCTGTTCGTTTTGCTGTACCTCTTGTCCTGTATCTCCCTATCAAAGAGAAACACAAAACACAGCCGAAGTCCAGCAAACCAGCGTTTAGGTCCAGCCCTGGCCGAGCACGTCCAATCTTGCACACTCCACGGCTACCGCCCGACACCGCCCGCACGGCCAAGCACCCAGAACCGAGCGACTATCACGTGCAGTACAGCATGGGAGTGTCTGGTACAACTGAGGTTCGCTTTTGGGGGGCCGCCAGATCCCCCTGGCAACCAACAAAATCTAAGACCGAATCGAGCACTACAGACTTGAGCCTCCTCCTTCTTCTGCTCCTCCTCCTTCTCCTGCTCCTCCTCCTCATCCTCTCCCACCCTGCTCCTCGCCCCCCCTCCTGATCCACCTCACGGTACGCCGACGAAGGCACTCTCATTCAATGAATTGACCCTGCTCCTGCTCTGGACACAGTCCGACAGGATGACCCCGCTGCTATGCAAACCCTCACAAACACGCACACACACACACACACACCGTGCTGCCATGCACTAGATGTCCGAGACCCTGGCCACATTCGCTGGCTGTCACGCGCCAGAGGCAGCCGCCCCCTTTCTGACACATGTTCTAATCGCAGGCTACGGTGACCTCTCAATTCAGACTAACACTGTGGAGACACGAATGCTGGTCGTGCCTGCAGCCTGCTAGCGCGGAGCTGGCACAAACTTGCAACACGCATCGATATGCTGACTGGCTGGATCTGACCTCCCCGCCGCAATGTTTTTGATTTCAATCAGTACGTCCGAAAGCCTGCCGCGGTCACCTCTCACACAGGAGGAATACGGAGGAGACGCGGCGGAAGACTGCCGCAAGGCGAGCCCACGAGAAGGAGGCAGAGCCGGCAAAGGATCGGCAGGAAGAAGGGGCCGTGCGGCGAGACGCTACCAAGAAGCGCCTCTGCTACCTCCCTCGCCCATCCTCCCCCCCCACCTCCTCAGGAAGCGCGGCCACACCAGGCTCCGGCATCCTTCCCTCGCCACGACCAAATCATCCCTCACTCCATTGAGGGCCTAATGCGTCGCAAAAACGTTGCTGGCCAACCCTGGCATGAGGACTTGTGAACGCCCCTCTGGGGCCTTCGCGCCACGCGCCAAGGGGGGCCCTAATTGAAGAAGAAGAAATAGCATCATAAACATAAACGTTCGGAGATCCGCGAGGATTTCTTGCATCTGAGCCGGAACCCCCATCCTTGGCGAGCAGAGCGCGCCAGGGGAAGCGCCACAGGCGCCGCCAGGGGGGCCCATTGCCGATCGAAGAAATCCGAGCGGTGCTCGGAATTTTCACGCCCAGGCTACTTTTCTGGCTCGATGCACGTTGACTGAGGTCTTCAGCCGCTGGAAGCAGTATCCCCAACAGGCGAGACGAGTTTACAGTTGGGTGCTCAGGGCGCTCGGGCCCAACCAGCTCCGCGAGCGCATGCACCTTGGGATCCCCGTGAGCACCAGCTCCGCGAGCGCAGACACCTTGGGATCTCCGTGAGGTGGCACTCGCGCTGGCGAAAGCTCTGCGACCGCGCGTCGTGGCAGCACGAGCCGCGAGAGGGAGAACAGATAGGGGCGAGGGCATGCTGCGTAGGGGCCAACAGGAGAGGCGAGCAGGAGGAGAAAGCAAGAAGAGGAGGTTTCTCCGCAGATGGGGGAGACCATGTCCTTCTCTCTCTCCCCCCCCCACTCCGCCGCTTCCCCGCCCATCCCACCATACACGCCGACAGGAGAGGATGGAGAGGGAGGGCGTGGCGGAGGAGGAGGATAAGGAGATAATGGTTGCAGAATGTCAGAATGTGGTGTAAAATCGAACGAGGCTGCAGCGAATTGGAAACAAACGGACCATGATGCGCAAAGCTCCTGGTCCAGAGCGACTCACATGCCACTCGGTTGTTGAAGCGTTGTTCATGAAACGACAATAGGATTAAAAAAAAACGTCGACCAGCCAAGGAGCAGATTGCACGGAAAGATCGACCCGACAGAGTCGGGCCGCACAAATCGGACAACGCCAGGTCGGCAACATTGCAGATTAGACTTAAACGTGAGCAATAGTTATAATGATATCCACTGCGACTTGGACTTTCTCGGAGGGGGCGCCGCAATGCCGAGGCGCACTGGATGTGGCAAAAAATCGAGCTTCTGGGGGCCAGATCTTTATCCACATCCAGTGCGCCTCGGGTTTCTGAGGAGGGAACCAGAGACTCCAAGCTGCAATGGATACAGACACAAATCTTGCCCTATGCTGTCCCCACCGTACTTAAGGACCACATCCCAAAAAATAATTTCGAGCACCCTGACAGGTTCTACCCGACACGCTGGCGAAGTTTCGAACGAGCATCGCCCCCCAGGGCCCGACGCGTGAAAACCCTCAAGTTTCGGTACTTCCCTTGGAGCTCGAGATTCTTCCTGGTGACTGACGCTAAAGCCGGTGGGAACAGCATAAATCTTGCCAGCACGGAACAAGGTCGATCCACGTCGACGGAATCGACCAGACCCAAGGCCGCCGCCCAAGGCCGCCCAAGGCCGCCGGGGGGGGCTTCTCTTCGGCGGCGAGCCCCGCAGGGGCTGCAAAGGGGGGCGGGCCCTCTCGGAAGCCTCGGCGTGCCTTGGGCCTCCTGCGTGAAGGAGGAGGAGGAGGAGGAAAGACGCGATGACGCGCGAGAGACCCCCCGCACCGTTTGGAGGGTGGCCGCCCAAGGCCGCCGCGCCGTGCCAAGGGGTTCGGGCACGGTTCCAGGGCGCCGGCCGCTGCCCCGGAGGAAGAAACCACGGCAGGCACACCTCGCCGTCGCTCGGACGTCCCTCTCCTGTTCATTTTCCGGTTGCGTGCGTGTTTTCCGGTTTCGTGCGTGTTTTCCGTGTTTCCCTGTTTCCTGTTCATTTCCTGTTCATTTTCCGGTTTCGTGCGTGTTTTTTTGCTCGATCGTCCAGGATGGTCCTCGATGGTTCTCGCCAAAAAAAATGCACACGCCCGAGCGATGCCAGGACACAGGTGGGGCATGTCCCAAGGCCGCGCTAACGGCGATGTTGGTTGACGGTGGTCCTGGGAATCTGGCCTTTGCAACGCAGAACTCGCGCAGAGCAGAGTGCAGGAAATCACGAACTACACTGTTTCTACATTTCAGGACGCGCAAGTGTACTGAGAAAAAACGGCACGGAGAATTGCAGAACACCGAGCGCCACGTTTTCCTACAGTCGGGTCGGTCGCGAACCACCCCCACCTGCAAGTCCGACACCTACACCGCCGTTACCTACATCTCCGTTAGCGCGTATACGGATGCCCTCCTACAGGCGGATTTTGGCAGAAAAATGAAACATGGTCAAACATAGTCAGACAGACATAATAAAACAAACAACAGAAAAAGACTACGGAAAATCGCAACTAGACGATGTCTTTACTTTTTCGGGATGCTCATCCTCTGTAGAGGGACATGCCATACTTAAGCATACACATAACCTTTCGATGCTGTTTGGGACGTGGCTTTGAGTCAAGCACTAACTTACTTTTGCGGATGGAGCTCTCAAGCTCTCCGCCGCCTCTGGCGGTGTGCGTTGCGAGCAGCAGCGCTGCAAAGCCACAGTACGGCGCGGCATGCTGTGTGGCTCCGCACGCGTGGCAAGTTCCCGCGACGGAGAACGCAGCAGAGCCCGAGGAAAGCAAGGCATTGACGCGGGTTGGAGTCAAGCGCGAACTCACGAACGCTCGGCACAGAGACGAGCGGCGACCGAACGAGGGCCCCAAGAACGAACGAGGCGAGGGCCGCATCAGACGCACGGCGGAGGGACAACGACAACGGGCGAACACCGAGGCCCGCAGACTCGAGGTAAGCCCTCGACGGTTCGCGAGGCTCTCTTGGATCTGTTACCAGCCTCGGCCGTATCCCTATCCCTAAGATTGACACGCCAAAAGGCGATGACAATCTTAGGGATTCGCCTTCAAAAAAATAAGGGGCTCCCTAAGATTGGCATCGTGATGAGGAGGTGCCCAGCATAGGGATAGGGATATGTTCCAGGCCGGTAAATCTGGGCTGGAGCCCTTCTCCCTTACGCGCGGAGCGCGCCGCGTGCGGCGCTCGAGGCGCCGCCGGGGCGTCCAGCGCCGATGCGAGCATGCCGTGCGGGCCGTCGAGCACCTCGTGCTTCTGCCGATGCTAGGGCTCCCAACTTCGCGCTTCGCGCTCCGCGAAGCGCGAAGCGCGAATAACTTCGCGCTCTCGCGCCGCTCCCCGAAAGGGAGAAAAGGAGGACGAGGAGGAGGGGGCGAAGGAACGAGGACCGCGAAGCGCGAAGCGCGAATAACTTCGCGCCCTCGAGGGCGCCCTTGCCGATGCGTCGGATTCGACCCCCTCCCTCCTCGGCCACGCCCTGCGTCGCATCTCCCTCTTGAGTGAAGTCGCCGCCTTGCCCTCCTCTGTTGGCTCGGACGTGCCGCTCGAGAACTTCGGTCTGTGTCGCTGTTGCTGCTTCCGCGCCCCTTCCTCGCGCGGCCGCTCTCTGCCTAGCATGGCCCTCCCTTGTGTCAACTCGCCGTGTTGCCTTCCCCTGCGGGCTCGGGCGCGCCGCGCGACCGCCGGCGCCGCAGGGAACCAACCGTGAGGCACTCAAAACTGATAGCAAGGATGCGCGATCAGGAGGCAAGCCCCTTGGACGCCCGTGTTGAAGCTTTTTCGAGCGAGGCTGGCCATCGAGAGTGGTTCAGGATGGACCGAAGAGGCAAGGATACAAGGGCACCCTTGGGAAGGTTGCCCATCCTTCTTCGCCACCCCACGTATCGCCCACCCATTACGCCACGCCCGATCAGTCCATTGACTGGGCTTGCGGGGTCTCGGCTGGTGCCCGGTTAGTGGGCGCCTCGTGGGCGCCTCGTGCCGGGAGGGTGTGCTGAGGCTTCGCCCGGTCCCCACGCTATAGGGCGCCTCGTGCGCCGAGTGGGTGTGCCGAGGCTTCGGTCTGGAGCCCGCCCGTGGCCGCCCCGTTGGCGCCACGGTGCGCTGGGCTGCCGTGCCGGAATTCCGCCCGGTGCCCGCCCGTGGGCGCCGCGCGGGCGCCGCGTGTGCCGGGTTGGCGTGCCAAGGTTTCGCCCAGGGTGCGCCCGTAGCCGCCTGAGAGCGCCCCGTGGGCGCCTCGTGCGCTGGGTTCGTGCCGAAGTTTCGCGTGCTGCTCGCCCGTGATCGCCCGTGGGCGCCTCGTCGCGTGGGAGCCTAGCGTGCTGGGCGGCCGCATGGACTGCACACAACGGCTTTTTGTTGTTTAATCACACCGTTTACACAACATAATTTACACCACATGGATTGCACGTCATGGCTTGCATCACGTAGCTTGCACCACGTAGCGTGCACCGCAAGTTATGCCACGCACACGCACACACACATGGCACCCAACAACTCAGACCATTCATATTACACCACGTAGCTTGCGCCGCGTAGCGTTAACCACAAGAGCGTACATCACACACGGCTAGCACCGCATAGCTTGCACCGCACATCTTATTCCACATCGACTGCAAAACATAGCTTGCACCACGCAACTAGCTCATCCAACGTGCACAACTTACTGTTCCGGGATCAGTTGGCAGATATGTTGCTTGCTTCTTTGGGCAAACTGCAGTTCCCGACCGCTCGTCGCCGACTCACCGAGCTGAAAGCCGCCTCTGACCACTGGCTCGCCGGCTCAAAACCTACTCGCCTGCTTCGCGGTACGGACCTCCCTCCTGACGTCCTCCACTGCGTTGAGCACGACCTGCATGTCGAAGCAGGAGGCAGCACCCTTGAACCGCATCGACGACCGAACGAATGTGTCGATGTCGACGCCATGGTCTTCAGCCCCGCTGCCCATCAGGTGGATCAAATCTCTCATTTCGCTCAGGCGCCACCCCATTGTCTCCAAATAAGTTATCATCCGGTTGTCTTTCAAGGCAGCCTTCCACTCTGCCTCGGACAGCTTCCCGTCCTTGTCGGCATCTGCGCAGATGCACATCTCTCTCAGGTCAGACTCCATCTGTTTCTGCTGATCGGCAAATTCCTGCATCAGCTCCTCCCTGTTGCCCGTCATGCTCTTCATGGCAGTGTCGACGAACACACCAAGGATGATGTTCAAGACCTTAGGGGGCCCTGGAAACGAAAAGGCGTTCCCATCCGTTACACAAACACATCTCCCCATGCTTCCAGTTTTCGGAGGCGCAGCTGTTTGATTTTCATTGTCCAGAGCCAACTTCGACAACCTTCATTCTCTGACGGTTGGTCCTGGCGTGTTTGTTTACTGCTTCTGGCTGCCATTTGTTCCCGTTTTCCTAACCCCTGGTTGCCCTATGGCGCAGATCAACGTGTTTTCTGGATTTGAATCCCATTTTCGAACCAAGAGAACTCCCACGACTCCCGCCCACCTGTGTCCGTGTTCATTCGTTTACGCTCTCTCAAAATGCTGTTATCGCTGCCATTTCCCGTCGCCTTCGTTGCGGCTTCTGTTGCATTTCGGTGAGCAGTCAGTTGTTCACCCTCTTTCGCTGTCGAGATTCAACTTCTCGAAGGTGAGCCAAAAACATGCTGCCGATTTCAACGCCACTAAGCTTAAGACTGCAATCTGAGTGAACGCCACAAAGAAGTAAAATATGCCACAATTGATAAAGCCTGTCTCAACCAGGGGTCTGTAGTAGATGCTCCAATCGTTGCCACCAGTGGTAGCCTCGAACAGGTGATGGAAGGTCGTCGTGACGCCACCGTAAAATTCCAAGAGACGTTCCTCGACCACTTCATCCACAACGTCGCGCTCATTCCTCAAATAAGTTGCTACGCGCAAGACGAACACCAACGCAAACAGTCCTAGAATCAGAGCCAGCAGCGTCAGACTCCAAAAGAGCGTGCCCAATGTGTTGAAGAGTGATTTCAGAATTGCGCGCAGGGGCTTCACAACGGCTATCAAGCGAAGTACGCGGACGACTTTGAACAGCCTTAACATCCGCATCATCCGCAGCCAAGAAAAATTCGGCAAGTTGTCTTCAAAGAAAACAGAGTACGTGCTGAGGAAAAGGAGGAACAAGTCAAGCCAGTTGTACTTCCAGCTGCTATCAAAGAAGTAGCTCCAGCGGTAACGCCACAACTTCACGACAAACTCTGTTGAATAGGCGACTAAAAAGAACTGTTCGCCCATCGCCACCTGCTCCGGCAGCTCCCCGTCGTAGTGGGAAATCTCCTCCTCGGCGGCATAGAACATAAACATGCTGTTGAGAAGGATGACGACATGTACAAGCGTCGTAAACAACTTGCTATCCGCAAACTTTGACAACGGGTCGGGCCGCGGCGGTGCCTCCAATGTGCCGAGAAGATTGTACCAGCGACTGATACTCGTGAGACAGGGCCGGCAGCATGGCGCTTTGTCCATCAGCATCGTCCAAAGTTCGGACTCGATGTGATCTGCCTTGACATTCTCCTGGTCGGCCATGCGGTCTTTGAAGAACTCCAGCTCGTTCTGCTTCTCGGCCAAGGTGGAAGCACGCGAAGATCGCCTGCGGCTTGGCTCCTGCTCGGGAGCCAGACACCGGGACCTGCCAGAGGCGCCACTGGCCCAAGGCGTCCCCAGGATTTCGCGCCACGCTGGGGCCGCTGGGGCCCTCTGGGCATCGCGAGTGGTAGTCCAGAAGCCGTCTGAGCTACGCATGGAATTTCTTTGACACCTCAGAAAACGGGGGCATCATTGGCAACTGAGCGTCTCTGCACCATCCTGGGCGTCATCCTCGAGGCCTCCGCCCATGCCGTTCTGCGGTGACGCGGACACGCCAACCTCTGGCGGCTTCTGCCCCTTGAGCGTCTCGTTGAAGGCCTGCACGGTCAGCTGCCCAACGGACACCTGCGGCCCCAGACACCAGACAAGCACTAGGTCGGGCATGTCTTCTACAGGCGGCTTTGGACGAACAGTGAAAAATAGCCAAACAAATCACCCAAATAGCCAAGCATAGTTGAAACATCGTCACCAGAATATTTTTCCACTATTTTGAACAATTCCTCCTGTAGAGGGACATGCCCGACACGAGAGAAGCAGTTTGTGAGCGTTTTCTTTTGCGGCGTTACGATACTGGGCGGAAGGGGGGGAGGGATGGGGTGTCTGGCTCTGGACTTCTGCTTAGTGCGACTGTTTGCAGCACTGGGTCCTACGAGGGGATACTCCACCTGCTCGAAGCAGACGCCCAAAACAGTCAAGACCTACTCCAGGCTTATGTTTTTCCATCGTACTTGAGGACCACAGCCCAGAAAAAAGTTCGAGCACCCAGGCAAGTGTCGAGACAGTGTCGAAACAGTGTTGAACCAGTGTCTCCCAGGGCCCGACACATACAAACTCTCGATTTTCGATACTTCCCTGGTGCTCGAAATTCTTTCTGATGATCAAGGCTGAAGTAGGTTGGAACACCAAAACCCCAGGGGCCCGCGCCGATCGACAGAAGAACGCATAACAAGAACGCCCACCTCTTTCTTTAGCAGGGGCCAACCGTTCTGGCATTCCTATAGTCCTACCACGAAATTGTTTTAGAACCCCAATAATGTTCTAAGAACAAAGCAGTGTCTTAGAACACTGGCCCGATGTGTTAAAATTATCCTGGCGAAGGGCCCAACCATCTGCAATTCAGGTGCCGCACACCAAGTTCGACAAATGAGATGGAACTCCCTATGGGGCCACGAACCGTGTAAGGGGTGCCGAAATGGGTGCGGCGGGCGCATGCGAACGCAGCCACTGGGGCCTTCGGTGGAACTCCTTATGGGGCCACGAAGCGCGTGAGGGGTGTGCCGAAATGGGTGCGGCGGGCGCATGCGAACGCAGCCGCTGGGGCCTTCAGTGGAGCCCCCTATGGGGCCACGAAACGCGTGAGGGGTGTGCCGAAATGGGTGCGGCGGGCGCATGCTAAGGCAGCCACTGGGGCCTTCCGTGGAGCTCCCTGTGGGGCCACGAAGCGCGTGAGGGGTGTGCCGAAATGGGTGCGGCGGGCGCATGCTAACGCAGCCACTGGGGCCTTCGGTGGAGCTCCCCATGGGGCCACGAAACGCGTGAGGGGTGTGCCGAAATGGGTGCGGCGGGCGCATGATGGTGGGAGGAGGGAGGAGGGAGGAGGGGGAGGAGAAGAGGAGGAAGGAGGGAACGCGGGGCACCGTCTCTTCAAAACGAGGACCCAACACAACAGGATGGTGGGGAACAAGACAGTCTCCACCAGAAATCTTCAGAGATTATCTCGTGCCCCCCCCCGAAAAAAGGTTCTTAGAACACTCTCTGGTGGGCCTATATGCGAGCTGGGACGCTTTGCCACTGCTTGACTCTGTCACCACGCGACCCTGTCTGGGCCCCCATACTCCCGACGCCGTGATTTTGTTCACAACATCGGCCGCCGACGGCCTGGACCCCTTCCCTGGGACCGGTTTTTCCTTCTCAATAATTTGTTCGCGGTCCCGAGGCCCGGGGACGACCCCCAGGCCGAAAAGGACGAACAACCTCCCTGGGACCGGTTTCTCATCCTGGGTCGTTTTTTCATGGTCCCGAAGCCCGGGGAGGGCCCCCAGAGGCCGAAAAGGACGAACAACCTCCCTGGGACCCGTTTCTCATCCTGGATCGTTTTTTCATGGTCCCGAGGCCCGGGGAGGGCCCCCAGAGGCCGAAAAGGACGAACAACTTCTCTGGGACCCGTTTCTCATCCTGGGTCGTTTTTTCATGGTCCCGAGGCCCAGGGAGGGCCCCCAGAGGCCGCCCCAGGACAAACAAACCCTAATATTTTTCCATATTTTCTGGGTGCTTGTCTCCCCCCACACTTCCCATATCTTCCCATATATTTTCCGGGAATCGACGATGAATTGTGTCTGTGTGTCTTTTTCCCTCCTGGAGCAACCTCACGATCTCGGGAGCGGCCAAGAGGGGGGTGTCCAAGAGGGGGGGGTGCAAATCATGACTGCCGACATGTGCGCGGCCCAGCGGGGAGGCCTGGGACGTAATGAAAAAAGAAGAGGCGCCATGAAATCTGAGGAAATCTCATGGCCCGCGCCATGATATCCACACCCCCCCCTAGTCATCACCCCCCTCTTTTCCGCCCCCGACGATCGTTTCCAGACCACCCCAACCCAACCCGAAGACCCACATTTCGGGTTGGGGGGGGGGTACGGGTTCCATATGTTTTCTCGATGTTCCCCGACCCCCCCCCCAACTGGAAATGGAGGGCAAATCTGAGCCTTCGGGTTGGGTTGGGGTGGTTTGGTGGGTGGTGATTTTCTGGGAATCGACGATGATTTGTGTCTGTGTGTCTTTTTCCCTCCTGAAGCAACCTCGCGATCGTTTCACGACGGCACCCCGCCTGGGCCCGCCGGGGCTTCGCCCGGCGCCCGCCCGTGGCCGCCCCGGGGGCGCCCCGCGGGCGCCCCCGTGCGCCGGACGGGCCCCGCCCCGGGGGCCGGCCTCGGGGGCGAACCCAGACACGATCAAGGATGCTCCTCGATGGTCCTCGCCGAAGGAAATAATGCACACGTCCGAGCGATGCCAAGCCTCTCTGCCGTGGGCGGGGGGGGGGGCCGCTCGCGCGAGCCTCCCTCGCTGGGCAGGCGCAGCGGGCGACGGGCCCACGCCGCGGTGGCGGAGGGCGCGCCGGCTTCTGGCAGGGAGCATCGTTCGACCCAGACACGATCGCGTCGTGAAATGATCCCGGCAAAGCAACTGACTACCTACCAGACCACCCCAACCCAACCCGAAGACCCGAATTTGACCCGAATTTCGGGTTGGGGGGGTACGGGTTCCACACGTGTTTTTTCTATGTTTCCCGACCCCCCGCCCCACTGGAAATGGAGGGCAGATTGAGGCCTTCGGGTTGGGTTGGGGTGGTTTGGTAGGTGGTGACGTTCGACCCAGACACGATCGCGTCGTGAAATGATCCCGGCAAAGCAACCTAACAGCGATGTGTATAAGCATACCTGGAAGCATTCCCCTTAAGATTCAGGGGAGAATCCAGTTGTAGAATTCTGCTGTTCTCGCAGTCGCAGTCGCATTCGCAATGACAGTCGCAGTGGCAACGGCCCTGGGGAGTCCCGGAGAGTCCAAGGGAGCATCGTTCGACCCAGACACGATCGCGTCGTGAAAAAAATCAAGACGGCAAGTTTTTCCCTATTTTCGGCCCCATGGGGGCCCTCGCGGGCCCCCGGGAGCGTCAGAAAACGACTCAGGCTGAAAAGCCGGCCCTGGGGAAAGGGGACTTTCGGGGGCGGCGCCCTGAAAAAATTAAGACGTCGCATTTCTGGGAACCGATCCCCATCCCCAGCGGCGTGGCCTGGGCCCCACTGGCCGATTTGCCCCCCTAGATGGGAATATATAGGCCGCTCCCTCGGAATTTCGAGGGGCGTGTCCCCAACTGGGGTGGTAATTCTGGTGGGGGTCTCCAAGGGGATGGGAATGGGGATGGGGATCGGTTAAACGATACCGAGTTAGGTCGTGCATGTCCCCCTCCAGGCGGACTTTGGACGACAAATCAAAAAGACTCAAACAGATACCAAAAAAGACTAGGAAAATTGCAGAAGAATCGTCCCCAGACTATTTGTTGAACTATTTTTGGATATTCCTCCTGTAGAGGGACATGCCCGACTTAAGGCGAACGCTCGTGGGCACGGCATGAGCGCCCAGAGCCTGCACCGCTTCGGTTCTCCTTGCAAGAGAGAAATTTTCTGCTGCGAGAATATCTGCGATCCCGCGGCTCTGGAGGATGTCTCGGGCGCCGCGGCCTTCTAAGAGCGTTCTGGAACGCTCTGAGAGCGCTCCGGAACGCACCACCTCGATACCCTTTGCAAGGAAAGAGTGCACTCTGCGGCTTAGCTGCTTAGATGCCCCGATACGCAACACGCAACGCGCAACACACAGAGTACATATTGATGTTGCATCCTCGGGGGGCCTGGTCTGTCCCCTCGCGGCCCCATCCGCGTCGAATGCGTGTCAAATCCATGCCGGACTCGTCGGATCTGTGTCGAATCCGTGTCGAATCCACAAATCCGCGTCGAGTCCGCATCGGGCCCGTGTGAAAATACACCATCTTTCGGGATAGGCGAGGTCCCCCGAAGATGCAACGCTTCGCTGTTTCTCGATGACGACGGGGAAACAAGTATACACCACACCACCCCAGCGTCGTCCCCGATCCTCAGAAAGTCCCGGGACAAAGAGCCTGTCACTGGTCATGTACATTCTCCAGCTTCCGATCTCCCTAAAGAACACACTCCGCGGCTTAGCTGCTTAGCCGCCCCGACACGCGACACGCAACACGCAGCGTACCGACACGGAACTCCACACGCAGACCGAGGAGACGCAGGTCCGGCGCGACACGCTCGCCGGAGCGTGGGTCAATGCGCTGAGCCAGCGCGCAACGTGTCAACACGGACATCATGAGCACAGTGCAGTCGGGGCGTTGACCTAAGGAACTCCAAGTGAGGAGCGAGGCCCCACCCTCCCACGAGTCGAGCTCCGATTTCCCCTGGGAAACCTCAGGAGAACCGAAGGCCAACTGCAGAACAATCCAGGAACACCGAGCCCCTCCCCAACGAGAAGGGTTCCTTCTTCAGGGCCCCGACCGGACGCGTGTTCGCTTCGCGACGGGCGCATCGGGGCAGCCGAGCTCTGGGGTCGGCGTCCTCGTCGTCGTCGCGGAGGGGCAGCACGCCACCGTTGGCGCGCTGCCCCTCCCCCCCCCCCCACAGGTCGGGAACGCACCACCGCGGCGATCGGCGCGTGCGCGCGCCAGAGAGTCGACTGCCCGTGGCTTCGCATTGTCATGTACATCGGAAGTGACAGGCAAGCGCGTTCCACTACTCGCACTGCTCGCAGATGGTCTGGATCTGCCGCGGGGGATCTGCGATCCCTTACAACGAGGCGAGCACGTGTTTGGTTTCTGACGTTTGCGAGTAGGCACTTTGCGAGTAGTGGAACGCGCTCGGTGGGGCGAGGGGGTGAAACCGCAATGACGCGGAGAGCCCCCCCACTGGGAAGTTGGCTTCCATGTCGAGTTCGTGTCGTGCGGGCGAAGCGAAGCAAGGCTGCGTGGGCGGGCGTGAGGAGGGAGCTGCATCCTCTGGCCAGGGCGCCGCCAGACGAAAAGACTGCATCCCCTCCCCCCCCCCCGGGTTGTTCAGCGGTGGCCGGGGGTGTCCCGCGGGCGCCCCGCGGGTGTCCCGACGATATCCGTCCCGTCGGTGTCCGCGGACGTCGACCGCGCAGCCTCGGGCGTTGCGCATTGGTGGGCAGTTCAAGGAGAGGGTGGAGAAAGGTGCACCTTTCGTCCACCTTCGGGCCCTCAGGGGGCCCTCTTAAGGGCTCTCTAGGGCTGAAAGCGTTCGGAGGTCTGCGCGGATTTGTCGCATCGGCGCTGTCCTCCCTTCCTGGCGCGTGGAGCACGTCGGGGGGGCACCAGGGCGGGACAGCGAAGATCCAGAGATCCTCGCGTGGCTCCCGATGGCTATGTTTATGCCGTTTCTCTTGGCCGACATCCTCGCCCCGAACCCCCCCGACGAGTCGGCTACACGCAAGAGTGACCCCTGCGCAAGAGTGACCTTTGGTGCGCGGCTGTAGGGTGGGGGGGGCCGCGCGGAGGCCTACGTGACCCAAGCGCGCAAGACGCCACTTTCGCATCGCGTTCGGCGGTCGGAGGGCCCCAGTAGACCTGCACCAAAGGACACTCTGGCGAAGGGTCACTCCTGCATGCAGTCGAAAGACGCGGGCTGCAACAATTCTGGACCCTTTCCTGGGACAAGCTTTTCATCCCGAGTCGTTGCTCTCCGGTTCCGAGCAAGGGTAGGCACCCCCCCCTCCAAAAGGCAAAGACTGAAAACACGGTCGTTGCGCTTCCTTCGCGAAGCGCAGAGGAGTGCGCGGATATCATGATCATGGCCAGGATACATCTCTGGATTTCGCGACCCCCTCTTCTGAAGTATGCCAGCGCGCCCCTTGGCCCCACCTGGGCCGCCCACGTACCTCGGGCCATGATTTGCACTCTTGGACGCCCCCCTCTTGGACGCTAAACCGATACTCGGGGCGAGAATCTGGTCGCCCCCGAGGACGGCCCAGACCCCATGGGGAGCCGCGCATACGTCTGGGCTGATCGTCTCCTTCACTACGGAAGGCCTCCGTTAAGTAGGGACCGACCGTTCTGGCGGCTCTACACGTAAGCCTGCCACGACGTGTTTTTAGAAAAGCAGAATGCCCCAAGAACACAACAATGCTCTTGGAGCAAAAGCCCGACGTATCAAGGTAAAACTGCCTCGGCCAGAAACGTTCTGAGGGCATTTCCTGCAAACCACTGAAGGTTGGTAGAACATCTTGTGGTGGGCTATACTCAAGTCGGCTGCAAGCAAGAGTGGCCCTAGGCAAAAGTGACCTCTGGTGCAAAGCTTAACTAAGGATGCGGGGTGGCCAAACCTGGGCGCGAAAGCTACTGCTACCGCTTCGAGCTCAACGATCGAGGTGCCCCATCCCAGACATGCGACGTCCAGATTTTTTCAAGACGGCGCCCCCGGAAGTCCCTGCCCTTTCCCCAGGACCGGTTTCTCGTCCCGAGCCAGTTTTGTTGACAGTCCCGGGGCCCGGCGAGGGCCCCCCAGGGCCGAAAACGGCGAAACGCCGCCAGGTCTGAGCTTGTTACGACGCGAGCAGGTCTGGGATTAGGCCCTCACTAAGGAGGTCCCCATGGCGACGGTTCCTCTTTACGTCTGGTCAAGCAAGCCCAGACGCTTCGCCACTGCTCGACCCCGGCGACCGCGGGCGCCGGCTGCCCTGCAGGGCCCTCCGTGAGGGGGCGCCACAGCTCCTCCCGCACGATCATGCGGAGGTCGCGCGCGAGCTCCTCCTCGCGGGGTCAGCTAGGCTCGATTTCTGCAGCATGAACACAAGCCAAATACCCAAATGCTGCTAAAAACTGCTGGGGTGCGTTGCATTTTCCCCGTTCTCGAGATCGACGTTTTGTGTTTCCGTGGTGGGGGGTTCCCGCTGCCGGGTCGGTTCCGTGTTGTACTGCCGTGTTTGGTATTATTTAGCGCTGCAGTTCTTGTTTGTTCGAGTCGGAAACCGAAAACTGCAAAACGACAAGAAGAACAAACGCCCCCAGCTTTTTCAGCATCAGCTAAGCCCAGACCCCCTCTCGTAGTGAAACACGGCGGAACGCTTTTGTTTTGCAATTTGGGTCTTACGGGGCCACAGTGGGGCCTTGGGGCCATCACGAAACAGCCCAGGATGAGACGCTGGTGCCCGGGACGAGGTCCAGACCTCTGGGGGTCCAGGTTATGAAAAAGATATGTTTCCAGGGCCTTGGATTGCGTTGGCTCGATCGTTGCTTCACGTCCCCAATTTAGAAAGCAGCTCCTGGGATGGTCTTGCAATAACGATTGAAAAACTATTGAGCCCGATTCATAAGGCCACTGGGCCAAAGTAGGCCACAATATACAACCGGAATCAACGGGGTACTGAACAACCATGAAACGGGGTTACCAAATTAGGGCGATTTCCGAACACGGACTTGCCAGCGCAGATGCTGATTTCCCAAACCCAACGCACTGATGATGCAAACTGCCAGGTCCCCCACTGAGGGAAAGGGGGCTCCACCGTGCGAAGCATCGGCCACGAGGGCAAAGAGAGATGAGACACAGGGAAGAAGACACGCCAGGCAGCCAGGAGAAAGGCGAATGGCCAAATTACCGTGGATCGGCGAGGCTCCAGGATGGAGAGTCCAGGGCCAAACGAAGCCACGAACGGGACAACATCGACTTGGGATACATCGGGGAGCTCTGAGACCTGGCGGCTCTGCAAGATGCGTTGGGCGCCGCGGCCCTTCCAGCGCGTCCCGGCACGCTCTGAGAGCGTCCTGGAACTCTACTGGAAAGCAAACGCAGGTTTGCAATGTTGGTCGACGCGCGACATGCGGCCCACGGGGTCAGATTTGCGCGCTTGCGGGCGCGAGGACCACTTCGGCCCGCAGGCCGCCGCCCACGTACGACTTCCGCGCCGCCGTGGATCCGGCGCTGCGCGCCTGGGCGGGGAAGGGCAGAGGAGGAGCAGATGCCCATACCCTTCCTCCTCCTCCTCCTCCTCCTCCTCCTCCTCCTCCTCCTCCTCCTCCAACCTCGGCGCAAACATTGACGCTCTGGCGCCCGGGGGCGCTGTCGCGTCGCGGGAAGGCCTTGCGCTTGCCTCCGATGCGGGACGTGGCACTCCCGGGAGCGGAGCGCTCTGCGCCTGGGCCCTGGGTCCTTGATGGTCGGGAACGGCCAAGAGGGGGGTGTCCAAGAGGGGGGGTGCAAGAGGGGGGGTGCAAGAGGGGGGGGTCTGTGTGTCTTTTTCCCTCCTGAAGCAACCTCGCGATCTCGGGAGCGGCCAAGACGGGGGTGTCCAAGAGGGGGGGGTGCAAGTCATGACCGGCGGCGCGTGCGCGGCCCAGCGGGGGGGCCAGGGACGTAATGAAATGAGAAGGGGCGCCACGAGATCTGGGTAAAAATCATGGCCCCCGCCATGATATCCACCCCCCCCCCGTCATCACCCCCCTCTTTTCCGCCCCCGATGATGGACGGGGCCCCGGGACGAGGACGGAGGGCCCGGGGACCGTCGATGAGCTGCTCGGGATGGAAAGCCGATGGGGGCCGATGCGGCCCGATGTGGAGACGCCAGCAGCGCCGACGCCCCGCAGAGGCGCGCGGGCCTGCGGCCCCAGCTGCCGAGGCCCCCGTTGGGACAGACCCCCGCCTGGGCGCGCGAGCTACTCTGGACAAGTTGGGCGCCCGAGTTATCCGGGGTAACTCGGGCCCGGGGCAACTCGGGTTTGGATTCCCGAAAAACGAACCCGAGTTAGCCCTGACCCGAGTTACCCCTGATGATTCGGGTCTCTGGACAAGCGCGCCCCACGGCCCGCAGAGCAGCTGCTCGCACATGGCCTGGACCCGCCGCGGGGGACTCACGATCCATGGAGTTGAGACGCGAGCATGTTTTATCTCGCACGTTTGCGGGACGCCTGCAGCACTCTGCGAGTCGTGGAGCGCGCCCGGCGATACTCCGCCGGCGCGGGCCGGCGAGGCTCGCGGCTCGAGCCGGCCCCGGCGAGGCTTGGGGCTCGAGGAGGAGGAGGAGGAGGAGGAGGAGGAGGAGGGGGAGGAGGAGGGGTGCGCTCCCAGACGTCCCCGGCCGCCCCATGGGTGCCCTCGCTGGCCGCGGCGGGCTCCGGGGGCGCTGCCCGGGGCACGTCCTGGCCCGAGCCCCGCAGGGCCCACGTGCGGACCATCTACCAGACCAAGCGCGCCCTGAGGCGTCTACAGCGTCCGACACGTGTTTTTACGTGTCGGTGCTGTGCGCTCCCTGGAAGAGCCGCCCTTCTCACATAATGTTTGGCACTTCGCTTCAAGGAAACTCAAGATCCTGAACTCCGGACTCAAGACTGGGTGGGTCGCGGGGTGGGTCGCGAATGGGTGGTGGGTGGGTAGCGGGCGGGGTGCGGGGTTCTGCGCGTGTTTTGTCCACTGCTCCCCGTCACCCCCCACGGGGAATGAACGGCAAAGCTGGGGCCTTCGGGTCAGGTTGGGATGGTTCGGTGGGTGCTGGCATGCCCCCTTCGCGCCGTGACCAAGAGCACGACGGGGAGTCGTGGCAAGCTTGCCTGCATGGTGGGGGGCTCCCCGGCGAGCCACGACGGGAAAACTTGAAAGAACGCAAAGGGAGGTTGCGTGTATGCTCGTTTAACGTTCGCCCAGTGCTTGATGGAAAGGCGGCAAGAGCCAAGGCTGGGCTAACAGCGATGTTGCTTAACGGTGATGTTGGGAACCACAAGTGTAGGAAATCTCGATCCACACGTTCCTACATTTACAGTCTGCGATTGGATCGAGCGAACACGACACAGCGAAGTGTAGGAAAGCGTGAGCCACGCGTTCCCACAATACCGAAACCTACATCGCCGTTACCTACATCGCCGTTAAATCGTCTACGGAAGAGGGTAGTCACAATACCATGCAAGTGAGATTGCCAGGACCGAGATAATAGTGGGAGATCTGGGCTTCGTGTCGGGCGAAACGGGGGGGCCCCGAAGGAGAAACCAGAGAACGCTGGGCCAGGAGCACATCTGGCAACTCCCGATCCTTCAGCTGGCTGACCATGGACAGGCTCAGCACCACCTCCGGCTCCACAGACGGCATCGGATTGGCCTTGCAGCCGAGGCGGCGAATCGGGGTGCGGGCAAGGGGATGTGCACGGCGGCTCCCAGATAGTGCTTTGCAAGGAAGGGCGCCCCAGAATTCCGACGACCTGACCATTTCCCATGCCCCAGAGGTCACGGCCCCCTCCTGGGGCCACGCTTTCGCCCCAACCCTTGCTTGCTGTGGACAAACTGTAAACGTGAACGTGCCTATACAATCTTAGCATACCATGCGCGCGCCCATGCCTACGTGTATCAGCACACACACATAGATGTGTACACATACATCGACATAGACATGAACATATACATAGACATAGACACAGGCATAGACATAGACATTTACTTAAACTTAGAACTATGCATAGACATTGACATTGGCATTGACATTGACATACACATGTACCTGTACCTGTACATGTACACATACATTTTCACATCTGTGTCTCGATGTACATATACGCGCATGCATACCTTCGTATACTGTTACCCCATGTTCCCTGAGCTCATAGCAACCAGCCTCCATGTGCGAGATGACCTCGCGCCAGACGGAAGTGCCGTTGTGGCTTCGCGAGGTTGACAATTGGCTGCGCGCGCTGTTGGGGATTGTGCCATTGCTGCGTGGCGTAAAGCCGGCCGCGCCCGCTGGAGTATCCTGGCGGCCGCGGCCGCCGCGGCCCATTGGAACCCTACGGACACTCAAGGTTTGAGAGCGCAGGCAAGACTTCAGCACGAGTCGTCCTGGCCTCCAGCCACTGTGGCTGGGAGTCTTGAGCCACAATGAGTTGGCGGCGCGCAAACGGGGATATGGGGGAGGGGGGAAGGCTCCTTAGAAGGAGGCTGTTCCTTAGAAGACGCGGGCCTTTTTTTTTCTCCTCCACACGGACCGGTGGTAATGAAGGTTTAACCATATAATGCGATCAAGTGCCTTGAAGCCCATTCAAAATGTCACGGAGTTGGTGCCGAGGGCGAGGAGGAAAAACGACGAAGCACTAGCCTGAAAAAGTGCGCCGGCCAACCTTAGAAGACGCGGGCCTGTCGGCCCGCCGATACTGACGCTGCGAGCTTTCGCTTCGCGGCTTGCCCACGAAAGAGGCCCCTCCCCGGATGGTCCGCTCTTGGACGGCCCCTGGGTCCCCGACTGTCTGGCTACGGCGCTGCGGGGTAGGTGGGCGTCGGCCCGCCGATGCTGAGCCTACGAGCTATCGCTCCGCGCCCTGCCTGAGCAACGACCCTCGCCCAACAATGGAAACGCTCGCTCTGCGCGTGGCAACACCATCAGATCAAAACGGCCCTTCCCAACCCTGACGTCTATGGCCACGCCCCTGCATCCCCATCTCCGAGCTGAGGTTCCTGGCCCCAAGCCGAATCCACCGTATTCCTTTGAACGGGCCCATGGACATACACAATCAAATAGACAAAAATCCCAGATTCCCGATATTTGCAATATTTTCTTCACTTCCACTCCCCATATTTGTTATGGGAATCGAAATTGCTGTGTCTGTGTCGTTTTTTCCCTCCTGATTTTTTAGTAACCGACGATGCCCACCGACGAAACACTCGAGACAAAACGGAACGCGGAAGACGCAGAAGAGAGGCTGGGCAAAGCAAAGCGCGGACCGCGTTTCGCTTTTCCCTGCCTCCTCTGCCGAACCCCAGGTTGGGGTCCTCCCCCAGGTGCCGGTCAAAATCCCAGCACCCGAAACCTCGAGTTGTTCCAACAACTCCTGCGTTGGTTACTCTTTTTGAATACAACGCTGCGGGCGCACACCTCCCTTCCTCCCCGCCTCCGTCTTACCTTGCTGTTCCTTGCGTGCCAGATTGCTTCCTGCCTGGTAATCCCTGCGGGGCTACGATCTGCGAAACTGCCGTTATTTTTCGAGGGCTGCCGAAAAAAAGGGTCCAGCGGAATGGCGTTTTACCCAAACCCAAATGAAACCTCGCCATCCCTGGGGGGATTGCGTTCTGCGAAACAGTCGCCATTTTCGAAGGATGCAACGGGGGTCCAGAAAAGTTACGTTTTACCCAGACCCTGATGACACCTCGCCATCCCCCAGGGAGCTGCGATCTGGGAAACTGTTGCCACTTCGAGGGCTGCTTAGGGGTCCAGCGGGGTGCCGTCTTACATAAACTCAAATGAGACCTCGCCCTCCCTGGGGGGCGGCGGTTTTCGACACGATCGTCCCTTTCGAGGGCTGTTGGGGGGTCCAGCGGAGTGACGTCTTACCCAGACACTGATGAGACCTCGCCATCCCTGGGGGGCAGCGACTTGCGAAACTGTCGCCACATTCGAAGGTTGCTGGGGAGTCCAGCGGAGTGACGTTTTACCAACCTCAAACGGGACCTCGCCATCACGTGGGGGCTGCGATCTGCGAAACCACCTGCACTTCCGATGGCTGCCGGGGGGGGCAGCGGATTGACGTTTCACGCGGGACACCAGGCGACTTCTCCATCCGTGGGGGGCTGAGATCTGTGAAACTGCAGCCATTTTCGAGGGATGCTGGATGGCGCTGCGAAGTGACGTTTTATGCGGACCACCAGGAGACCTTGCATCCCTGAGGTGCTGCGATGTGCGATGCTGTCGCCACTTTCGAGGGATGCTGGGGGGTGCAGCGGGGTGACGTCTTACGCGGATCACCACGAGACCTCGCCGTCCCTGACGGGCTGCGATCTGCGATGCTGTCGCCACTTTCGAGGGATGCTGGGGGGTGCAGCGGAGTGACGTCTTACGCGGATCACCACGAGACCTCGCCGTCCCTCAGGGGCTGCGATCTGCGAACCTGTCGCCACTTTAGAAGGCTGCTGACGGGTCCAGCGGAGTGACGTCCCATGCGGATGACCAGGAAACCTCGCCATCCCCCGGGGGGCTGCTATCTGTGAGTCTGCCGCCACATTCGATGGCTGCTGGGGGGGCAGCGGAGTGGCGTCTTATGCGGACCACCAGGAGACCCAGCGGCGTGACGCCTTTTTTCTGTTACTTGGGGGGTTGTTTCGAATTCCGGGGTCGTCAGAATCCTGGCTGGGTACAAGGATCGGTTCTGGAGGGTCCAGAGCCGGCGGCGGTGGAAAATGGATGAACTCTTGCTGCATCTCTACGCGATGCTGTCCAGGGCAACAACCGTGGACAACCTCCTGATGATACGCGACCCTGGCCTGGATTTCCTGGCCCGCGGGCCGACCGCGCACCTGGCGGCGCCCTGTCGAGCGTTTAGTTCCCGCACTGAAGAGCGCAAGAAGGAAGCAAAGAAGCTGGCGGGCGAGCTAGGCCTTGCTCGCTTCTTGCGGTAACTATAAACAAGTTCAAGCGTTGTTTCGAGCGCTGCCGCGACATGGCGCAGGCAACGCTGCACTTGTACCGGACTACGGACGAAAGCAGCACTCCTCGGTTTCACCCCGTCCATTTCGTAGTCGTCCTCCGCCCCCTGCCACCTTCCCTCTGCTGCTGCCGCGCTGACGGTTCGCCCCCCGACGCATCCTTCTCCTGCCCTTCGTTCCTGCCCCCATGTCCTCCTCGAGCATGGGCCCTCGCTCCTCGTTCTTCTGCTGTTGACTTGTGCATCGTGCCTTGAGGGCGCAACATATAACGGCGCCTGCACTGTCATTGCCTTGGCAAGGTTGGGCCAACTCGTTTTGTCACTTGATTCAAGCCGGCTGGGTACGTCACAAGGTAGGCAATGTTTTGCAGCGCGGGCTGCAGAGGTCTGGACCTCTTCCCAGGAGCTGGCTTCTCATTTTCAAAGCCGTCTGTTGAAGGACCTGGGGCCAGGTAAGGAGGACCCCAGTGGTTGAGGATGGCAATGGTTGATTGTTTCATCTCGAACCACCGCATTTCGACGGTAAAGGTGCACGAGAAGGAGAGCTCCAGAGGGGAGAAGAATGGCCCCAACAAAATCGCCGCGATCCTGTCAACAACGAGTGGGGGTCTGGGGAATAATGTTAGGGAAACAAACTCTAACACCGACACCTTTTCCGGCACCGCACTGACAACTGCACAGGACAACGGATCCTGGCGTATGTGGGATCCTGGTGCATGCATGTTTTATCACTGTTCCCTGGGGAAGCGGGTCAAACATCTTTGCACCAAACCACCCCGGCGTCGTCCCCGTCCCTCGCAGAGTCTTGGGAGTGAGCAGCAGGCCGCCACTGGTAATATGTATATATATATATATGCTCCAGTTTCCGAGTGGGGCCCGCTCGACCGGCCCAGATGACTGGTGGCGGGCGGCGGCAGATGTTCTGCATACTAGGCTTTGGGAAGTCCAGGCCCTTGCAAGTGCATAGCTGACTCTCCACTCCAGCCGCCTTCTGACGGCCCCAATTCAAAGGAGGCAAAGGTACCCATACCGCTACCATTCCGTCGTCTTCGCCTCTCTCGGGCCTCCTGGGGGGGACCCTCGTCGCCGCCGCTGGACTCGCTCCAAAATCCGAATCGGAACGCACTCCTAGAGAGGGCCGGGGAGCAGCGGAGTCGTTACCTCTTGGTTTCCCCACCATTATCCGCAAGGTCGTGCCGGCGGGCGAGAGGGCGCGGTTACACAAGTAGCTGCTTTCCCCGCGCCTCCAGGAGGTGCCACTGCAGAAAGGAAACTGCCCGCGGAGGCCGAAACGAACTCCATGCAGCAGATTTCGCACCCCTCCCTTTCCTCATCCCCCCTTGGCGTCCAACACGGCAAGGGGGGCCCGAGAGGCCAGACATTGCCGAAACAAAAAAATGAAATTGATCGGCGTATGCTTCTGTACTTCATTTCGCGACCCTAGATTTCACAGCCACCTCCCTGGGGGTAGTTTTGTGTCCCCGATTCCTTGTTTGACACAAGGAGGAGGCAGAAAAGGAAGAGGAAGGGAGATGGGAAGACGAGGGTGAGGTGGAGGAGGAGGAGGAGGAGGAGGAGGAGGACGAGGAGGAAGAGGGGGGAGGAGGATAGGGGGGGGGAGGGGGAGGGAGAGGGGGGGAGGAGGAGCCTGGGGGTAAGAAAAATGAGTAGATCGAGATTGGAGGCTAAGGAGGACGAGGAGGAGAAGGAGGAGAAGGAGGAGGAGGAGAAGGAGGCCCTGGAAGGGGGGAAGGGGACGAGGGGCCTCCTCGCCACCGTCACGCCCCCCCCCCCCCCCCCCCCCCCCAAATCGCGTGCGCGTGTGCGCGTGCGTGTACGCAATTCATTGGTGCATCGCGGACCGCAGTGTGCACGGCGTCGTGCACTGCACCGTGTACATCGCCTAGTACAGCACTTTTTTACCATCGCAGACGGAGCCCAGTGGCGCGACACGACAGACGAGCGACGGACGACAGACGAACGAAAAAGAGGCGGCGCAGAAGAAGGGGGGGAGGGAGGGGAAGAGGGGGAGGGCAGGCAGGGGGCGCCCGCGCCGGCGCAGCCCCGCACTCACCCGAGGGCGCCGCGGCGGCACCGCCGCGGCTGCGGCCGGCGAGCAACCACGCCTACCTCCGCCTGGCAGCGGCGGAGATGCCGGCAGCCATCTGGCCCATCAGCTCGGCGAGGGCTGGGCCAGAGAGCTGGCGCAGCGCGACGTCCAGTCGGCGCTGCAATTGCCGCCGCTTCCCCCCCGTGGGGGCCCGCAGCAACGCCGCCAGCTCCTCCTCGGCCGGCCGTCCGCCCGCCCGGACCAGCGCGCTCACCAACGCCATGTGGTGAACACGAGCCGCCGCCTCCGCGGCCTCCG